AAATTTGACTAATTCCTAACTAACAGATCACTAATGAATAACTATCATTTAACAAATATTAAAGTAACATTTAAATCATGTTTAACAAACATAAATCAGGGCTCACCAGTATACAAATAATTAATATTTAAATAATTTCGAATTAACATTTAACAAACCTTTGACTTACAATTACTAATGCTCAACTAATGTTTAACAAACATTACCAAACATCCAAACCATTAACTAACGGTTTACTAATGTTCACCTAGTGTTTAACAAACATCCCTCAAACATTTGTCTTCGAGCAGCGAGTCGACCGTCAACACGTTCAGTTAGCGTCTAGCTAGCAGCGGTACCTTCAGGTCCCTCCTCTCCAGGTGGATGAGCTCAGCTCCACGGACATCGTGTCCAATAAAGATGTCCTTATACTCAGAGAGACAGAGAAAGTCCAGCCAAGCCCCAACCTCCTCAGTGCCCCACTGGTGAACTGAGACACCGACAGGAAGGAAGGTGTTGAAAGACAGAGACAGACACCTTTAGCCCGTGATGTTTGACCATGTGGACACAGCCCACAGTGAGACAGCTGGCTGAGACTCACCTGGCAGGGACAGAGTGGCACACATCTCTTTGTTCTTGTTGTTTTTGTCCTTCTTGAACTTTGGGACGAGACGAAACTTACCGCTTCGACTGCGCTTCGAGAAGTCCATCAAAGGACCCTGAACGGTGGAACAGACAGACAGGTCAGCTGAGTCCTCAGTAAGGACAGTGAAGACCGGGGTTCTTCTGAACCACAAAAACTGGTCCTGAGACGAAACATCAAAGATCAAGGTGTACCTCCTGGTCCATTGGGTCGATGACGGGACACAACCAGGGAACATCAGCCAGGCGACGTAGCTGCTGAGCCACAGAACCAAGAGCAGTGTTCAGCTGGTCCTGCTGAGGAGGGTCCAACTGCTGCACAGACACAGAACAAGTGTCAGGACTGGGACCAGGACCAGAACATCAGGACAGAGTTCAGTTTGTGGTAAAACAGATGCTAAATCCCAAACAATCAGAGAGCAACACGACAGGAAGGTTCTTGTGGTTCAGAACCAGAACAACGTTGAAAGTCCTCAGGAAGAACTTTAAAAAATGACAAACTGATACCATGGACATCTTCCCAGCCAGGAGCAGCTCCGTCTCACTGAGCAGAGCTTTGACGTTCACGACCATCTGAAGCACCGAGCTGCAGCTGAGAGCCTGAAAACACAGAGAAGGTTTGCTGTGATCCAACAGAACCACCACACTGGAGGATGGGTCAGGACGAAGGGACGAACCAGGACAGGACACAAGGGGACAACAGTGATCAAGTCAGAGCTGAGAAGGGAAGGAAGACATCAGAGCAGGATAAGAAAAGGGTGGGACACATTGGGACAGATGGACAGACCAGAACAAATCAGGACAGATTAGGACAGTTCAGGAAACATCAGAGCAGACCAGGACCCATTGTGACATGGGGACAGATCAGTGGAGGACAGTAGAGACTTAGACCCAGCAGGAAATAAACAAGTGTATTAACAAAGTCCAGTTCCAGTTTTGGGAAGGTTCTTCTGTCCTGTGGTTCTGGATCGAGGTGTGGACATTTTAAAATCAGTCACACAGATACGATTACAGGCCTGTCAATCAAAGGTCAACAAAGACGGGTGAAAAGGTCTTACCCCAGGACTCTTGGCGTAGACCACATCCATGGCCTTGGAACTGGCGTTGACGGCGTGAGCCAGTTCCTGCTCCATGCTGTGGTGGAACTGGGCCACTTCCCGGATACTGGGAACACCAGAGACACCATCAGAGTCTGCAGTCAGCAGGGACTAATGGACAGGTGGAAAGGAGGACAGTCCCACCTGTGGATCAGGGTTCCGGCTGCCTGACCGAACTCGTTGACCAGTGAGGCCTCCTCCTCAGAGACGGTCTCTGGTTGGGAGGACAGTGAGGACTGGGTGGGCTGGGAACGAGGGAACTCACACTTCTGCTTGTCTTCCCAGGACTTCAGGGTGTTTTCAAAGGCCTGAAACAAATGAACACTGAAAACCACTGCCTGGTCTGTACCAGGACTGGCACCACTGGACTTAACCTCCTGCTAGAGACTCACCCGGTCCCTGGTCAAGGTCTGGGTGCGGTTTTTGTGGATGATCTTAATGTAACCAGGAGGCTGGATCCAGGCCTCCCCGTCCACCTGAACCGGGACGCCTTCGTCTCCCAGGATGGTGATCTTTACGGTCCGACACTGAGGAAGGGAGACAGGTGAGAAGGATGGGGCAGACAGGCAGGGCAGGTGAGACAGGTAGAACCGGTACCTGGGCAATGCGGTGGTGCTGCAGGTTGATGACTCTGGACACGGCCATCTGCATGCTGCCGAACACCGCCACCACCTCCAGGATCTTATCGTCAAACGATGGCGCCGTGAAGGTCTGACGGACAGACGGACAATCTGACATCACTGATCAGCTGATCACAAACATTTTCACAATAAAAGCTTCACATTTATCAGTTGCTTAAATTAAGTACATACATCTGGATTTCCTCATCTGTTCTACTTTATTCTGTTCTACAGAATCTGTCCCGATCTGTCCAAGTGTGGACTGGACCATTTTTATTGCGCTGCTACTGATGGATCCATAACGTATTGAGCTTTGGTCAGGTTGAGTTCTTACATCGTCCTCTTTGGTTCCGCCCCAGAAGTTGGTCCCTCCTGCGTAACTCGGGATGTTCAGCACGGCGATTCCCTGCAAGCTGGGGAGGGGGATGGGCCGCCCATCGCACTGCGACGAACACAGAGAACATGATGACTGACCTTTGACCTGTGCAAGCACCCTCATGCCTTACTGTTAAGATGTTCTGGGTCTGACCTCCAGCAGGACTCTCTGTTCCAGGTTCTTGTAGGTTCTGTGCAGCAGCTCTTTGGTTCCCAACACGCCGTACCACATCATGTTCTTGGTCCGACTCCTGAAGATGTAGAACAGAATAAGGTGAGGTCTGAGGGTCCGATACCACAGACCACCATGTTTCAGAGGTGTTGACTCCCAGAGAGGGACTTCTCTCTGGACCAACACCACCAGATCACAGATCCCAAACCATGACAGGATATTGCTTTTGTTTGTTGTTGTTTACTGCGTTTGTTGTTGTTTACTGCATTTGTTGTTGTTTGTTGCACCTGCACTTCTCTGGGTGCTCATCTCTCTTGTTGTTGAAGTCCAGGGAGATCTTGGCGTCCAGTCCGATACCAAAGTAGTTGTTCATGACACATTTCTCCGTGTAGCAGTCCCTGAAACACACAACACGCTGATTATGAAAACACCTGAACGTGTTTTCACCACACAAGCATCTACAGGTGTCTACGGGTGTGTACAGGTGTGTACAGGTGTGTACAGGTGTGCAGTTGGTATCTTACATGTTGTCGGCGTCGCAGCTGAACGGGTCGGCGTTGACCAGCAGCCGACTGATAACTGAGCTGCTCGTCAGAGAACCTGAAACACACGGAGAGTTTAAAACAGCCACAGGTAAATCCACACAGGTGGAAACAGGAAAAGAACAGCTCACCTGGAAACAGGATCTTTGTGTTCAGCATGGGCATGATGTCCCTGCTTCCTGTCTGGACAGGAAGTGAAGCAGAGCTGCCTAGTGACAGGCTGCCTTTACAGATCAGCTTCTCACAGGGCGTCTTACTGACTGAAGCCACACACAGAGAGACAGACAGGTGAGACAGACAGGTGAGCACCAGTGTGTCAGGACAAGCCTCGCCTGATCCTCACCTCTACGGCTGCTGCGCTGTTTGGAGCTGCAGGTGGACTGGAGGGACACCTGGTCCTCCTCTGCATCCTCCTCCTCCTCCTCCACCAGACCCACCTGCTGCTGGGTCTGAGCGTTCTGCTCGTCCACAGCTGAAACACACAGAACCATCACACCTGGACACAGAACCAACACACCTGGACACAGAACCAACACACCTGGACACAGAACCAACACACTGGGAGTCCAGTCATGTGGCTCACCTTTCTCCGTGTGTTCGATGATCTGTCGGATCGCCTTCTTCAGACTGTTGGCTCTCAGCATCAGCTGCTCTCGAGGTTTAAAGATGGCCGCCGCAGCTGTAGTCCTCGGTGAACAGGGAGGTGAAGCGGGTAAGATGTGGGGGGGAGCGAGTTGACGAAGAGGGCGAGGAAGGCCGACCACCTCCAGCTCCTCCTGCTCCTCAGCAATGGTTGGGGGTGGAGCTGGGGGCGGGACTGATGAGGCCTGAGACTCTTCATCCAGAGTCTTCAGCAGAGAATCGAGTTTTTCCTTCAGAACACCACACTGCAACACAAACACGACTCATCAGAAACAAACACGACTCATCAAAAGCACAAACATGGCTCATTGGAAACACAAACATGACTCGTCAAAAACAAACAGGACTCACGCAAACATGACTCGTCAAAAATGCAAACATGACTCATCAGAAACTCAAACCCATTCATCGGAAACACAAACATGACTCATCAAAAACACAAACATGACTCATCGGAAACACAAAGATGACTCATCAGAAACATAAACATGACCAGTCGGGGTGCCCCAACCCCGTCAACAGAACTGAGCACCCCGCCTACCAAACTGAACTTGCCCCTCCCACCCCCACCCGGCACTGACATATCAATAAGTTAGCGGCGCAAAATACAGGCTAAAAAGCCAAAGGCAGCACTCACGTTGCCTCTTCCCTCATGTTGAACGCCCCCCGCCCCCGCTCAAAAACTGTTAGTACAAGCTTCGCTCAGACATGTCTCCATCCCCCCCATCAGCAAAAATCATGGATGAGATGAGCACCCCGCCATGGCAAGCTAACTAGGAGAAACACAGATGACTCATCAGAAACATAAACATGACTGATCAAAAACACAACATTAAAAAACAAAAATATGACTCATCAAAAACACAAACATGACTCATCAAAAACATGAACATGACTCACCAGAAACAAACATGACTCATCAGAAACAAACATGACTCATCAGAAACATAAACATGACTGATCAAAAAACACAAACACAACATCAAAAACAAAAATATGACTCATCAAAAACACAAACATGATTCTTTAGAAACAAACATGACTCATCAAAAACATGAACATGACTCATCAGAAACAAACATGACTCATCAGAAACACAAACATGACTCATCAAAAACACAAACATGACTCATCAGAAACACAAACATGACTCATCAGTTTTGAATAATGACTCGTTTGTTTCGTGAAACTCGGAGGCGTGGACAGTCAGTGTCGTACCTTCTTGGCCATGACCTCAGACTCTTCTGATCTCTCCGTGTTCTTCTCGTAAGCTTTACCAACACGAGCCACAAAGTCCTTCACGGTCTCGCACAGAACCCTGAGTCCAAACACATAAAGAGCCCGTTAGAGAGCAGCCTGCGCTCAGCGGTGTCGTGGATCTTCAACAGAACTCGGACCTACTTGGCAGAGGAGATGACCACAGAGTGTTGGTCTGAGGTCAGGATCTTAGTCAGGTGAGCTGCCACTGAGTCCTCGTAGGTGAGGATCTGCTGAACCTGGATCAGAGGAAGAAACGTTCTGAGAACCTGTCAGAGAACCATCATCATTATTATCCACTGCAGTGTTTGTTACAGCACAGGTAGCACAGGTGTGTGTCTGAGACAAACAACAGGAAGTGATGTCACACTACCTCAGAGTCCTCGCTGCAGTCCTCGGTAACAGTGGAGGTAGAGTGTTGCCGTGCCAACTTTGTCTCATAGACCATGATGCTCCACCTGAAGACCAGGAGAGAAAAACGTGTTCATGACCTCACCTGGGCTACAGGTGTCAGGCAGGTGACATCACCTCACCTGTCTAACATCTTAGTGCTGGCTCTCTCCAGTTTCTCCAGGATCTGAGGCAGCTGTGTGTCATCATCGCAAGCTGAACCCCAGCCCAGAACTCGGGCCAGATCGTTCCCGGTCCCCAGAGGTAGAACCCCCAGCTGACACTGAAACACACGTTAGCCTCGTTAGTGTCTGTGAACTCGTAAAGCCCACAGAGGCACCTAACGAGCCTCATATTACCTGTTTATGCAGCATGAGAGCATCGATCTCAGAGAGAACCCAACCGACGCTGCCGTCTCCTCCACAGACCAGGATCCTGAACGTGTCAAACCTCTGGAACAAGCGCAGGCTGCCAGACAGACACAGATTTAAAGTTTCTACACACCTGCTGCATGTTAGATTGTCTCTGTGTGTGTATGTGTGTGTGTGTCTGACCCCAGGTGAGGGCCTCCGTTCATCAGGTCGAACACCTGCGCTGGGTTCAGCAGCTGTTTGAAGCGCCGCAGGAACTTCACACCCTGATTGTCTCCACTTTTCGAGTTAACAAACACCAGCAGAGGACTGGTGCAGGACGGAGGACAGGACGCCTTCCAGAAACCTGCACACACAGTCACCTGTTAGACTGAACGGGCCACCAGGTGTTTAATGGTTTTGTGATGCAGTGTTTCACCACTGGGGGCAGCATGGTGCTCCTCACCATCGGAGTCGATGCTGTTGAGCGCGGTTGGAGGAATGACGGATACTTTACACTGACCCAGAGGACACTTGGACGGCAGCTGCTCCTTACAGGATGAGTGCACCTGGAGACAGAGCACATGTGAGGTTCAGCACACCTGTCTGAGCGCACCTGAGTCTGTGCTGATGTGAGGATTACCATGGCTTTGCACCAGAGACACCTCGAGTCCTGCAGCCTGAGGACGCTGCCGCACGTCTTATCGCACACGCTGCACTTGGCTGACACGGGAAGGTTCCCCTCTAACCACTGATGAGGCATCGACACCTGAGGAGAAAGGTGAGGGGACGAGACAAGTGAGGAGACAGGTGAGGGGACGAGACAGGTGAGGGGACATGTGAGGAGACAGGTGAGGGGAAGAGACAAGTGAGGAGACAGGTGAGGGGACGAGACAAGTGAGGGGACATGTGAGGAGACAGGTGAGGGGAAGAGACAAGTGAGGAGACAGGTGAGGGGACGAGACAAGTGAGGGGACATGTGAGGAGACAGGTGAGGGGACAGGGGTCTCAGGTGTGAGTGTGTGTCTCACCCCGTCCTCGTCCTCAATGATGTCCTTCCCGATCGAAGCCAGAGTCGTCCACTTACAGTTGTTGGTTGCTCGAACAGCACAACGCTTGTGAGCTTTAAACTTACACACTGCAGTGCACGCACACACACACACACACGCACGCACGCACGCACGCACGCACGCACGCACGCACGCACGCACACACACACACACACACACACACAAAGAAGTGTGTCAGAGACAACATGTGAGTCTGATTAGCTGATTTAACAGACACAGAAATAAAAGCCACGTGGATCAGGGTGTGCAGTTGTTTGTTTGTTGTGTTTGTTTGTTTGTTGTTTACCTTCACAGGACAGCCCGTGTGACGTGACTCCGGACAGCGCCTCCCTGCAGACGTTGCAGTATGTGGGTCTGGCGTGGGAGCAGGCGTACCAGTTGTGCATCCCACTGAAGTGGTCCATGCTGTACTGGGTGGACTGGGGGACAGAGACACAGTGAGCGGCAGGTGTCCTCAGGTGTCCTCAGGTGTCCTCAGGTGAGATCAGTTCTTACCTCATAGTTCTGTCTGTTCTGAGCGCTGCGCAGCGCTGCCATCCACTCCTCCATCTCCTTCCTGTTGTCAGCACACAGAATGAGGCGCCTGCAGGGGGTGATCACCTGGAACAGGTAGCAGGGGAGGAGGTCAGCTGATCGGCTCATTGACCCTCAGCAGCTCCTTTAAGACTGTTTGTCTTCCTTGGGGGGGGGAATAATCCACCACCTATCTAACTGCTGGAAAATACTCATTTTAATTAGATTGACAACAAACTGTCAATCTTTCAGAGATTTCACAGCCTGAAATAAAAAAGTAGAGATGCACGATATTATCGGCATGGTATCGGTCGATATTAGCGTTAAAGTTCAATATCGGACATCAGCCATTCCATTAAAATAACTCACCGATATAAAAGGCGCAGTTTTTGCCTGCAGCGGCAGCACAACGCGATGACGTCACGTGCGCCTACCGGATCTCACGACGGAGAGGAAAATTCAAAATGTCGGCGGTGTGGAAGTTTTATTTTTTGTTGGTGAGGATGTCGGAAGATTTATGGAGTACGTTGAGCGGGACCAGTCTAGATAAGAAATATCCAACACTCTGGAAAGCCCAAGATGCACGTGGACCTGCTTTTTGTACTAAATATTTACTCATGCAACGTGCTCGTTACAGCTAAACTCATTTTTACGGCGGCTTACAAACATGCAGCAAAGCATCACAGAGGGAGCTAATATTAAAACCTAAAGAACAGAGACGGAAGTAACAGAAAAAAACATGAAAGGAAGGCATGAATTGTAGGCCTGTCACGATAACAAATTTTGCTGTGTGATTAATTGTCTCAGAAATTATTGCAATAAACGATAATATTGTTTGAAATTTGACAATAATTAGTAATTATTGTCAAATTTAAGAAGAAATGTTGGTTAATTTTTGAGTGCAGTACCTTTCTGACCACTGGATGTCAGTATAAGACTGTTTGAACTGAAGGATGGATAGTGAGGGAGCGAGCAGCGTGTCTGTAAGAAAAATGGGAGGGAGGCCCCTTGACGTGACATGGGCTGTCTCTCTTTGGTTCTCAAAATGGCGGACGCTCAATGTGGTTTGAGCTCTTTAGCATTTGTCACACAAAGCTTTTAATAAATAAATAAAAGACAGTAAACAAGTTCTCAGCTTCTTTTTGCAGAGAAAAACAACTTTTGACACGAAGGCACGAGTTTCAACTGTGAATTTCGGAGCTTCAACAAGACGGAGTTTTTTCCCCGAGGTTGGCCTGTTAGCTTTATTGTTTATCGCGACAGGCCTAATTAATTTATATGATAATTATGGGATCAGGAAATTAATTTATTTATGGTGGTTTCCCCCTAAAGAACACTGCAGGGCTGTAATGTTTCTGTGAGTTTATTTAAAAGAATTCTGACAAAATAAAAACTATTCAGGAAAAAAGGTGCTTACAGACGGCGCCAAAAAAACAAGCAATACTGCCATGTCGGCGGCCATCTTGGATGAAAGGAAACTTTCGTACGCCTAGATGTAGCCACACACCAAAATGGAAGTCAGTCCCTCACTTATTTTTCAAATATTACGCTCATGACATTTACAGATGGACGGACAGTACGTCCAATTCTGCCTTTTTGCTCCAGGATGGGGGACAAAAAAATAAATAATTAAATGCATGGCTGATTTTTGCCCCATGAGACCTCCTGACGATTAGTCGCCTGATTAACAAGCAGCACGTTAAAAACAGAGGCAGCAGTGCTTGATCTGAAGGACTTTGGGGTTTGAAGGAGTTCCACAGAAGGAACAGCAGCTCAAAGACGGCGTCCACCTTTTAACATCCTGTCTCTGACGGGATGAACGCTGCATTCAGGGAGCGCCAGACAATCTGAACTTCTGTTATCTGAACACCACAAGTACCTCATGGACATCTTCAACAACATCATCATAACAGGTTCACAACAGCAGGGAACAAATCTCACCACAACACCGGGTAACAAGTTTCATCACAACACCGGGTCACGAACACCATGAAAAAAGACGCACCAACTCCACAGAAATGTTTCCAGAACAGGATCCAGGCGTTCCAGGAGGTCGGTCTCGGCGCTGCGACCCAGATGCTGTTTGTGTCAGACGCAGCTGTTCTGATGATGTGACTGGACTTAAAACCAGTAAGAGTGTGCATGTGCGTATGTGTGACGTAGATTTCCACTTCCTGTTCAGATGTTCAACAATGGGCCTTCTGTTCCCACAATGACAGAAATAGATTCTGGAAACCGGAGAGGGGATCATGTGTCTGCGTGTACGGATTGGGTTTCGGCTGTTGGAGAAGAACTTCAGCTCCTCTGAAGGAGAAACAGCCGATGTTCTTCCTTCGGTTGTTCTGAATCCTTTCATGACTGAGCTGATTTAAATAACGGTAACCAACTATTAACGAGCCCACGCAGCTGCAGCTCCAACAGACGGGTCGGTGCCGTTAGAACTCCAACGGGTCTCTGACGTCACCATGAGCTCACATGATCTTGTTTACCAGCTGTGAGAATAAAACCAGAACATCTTCCCAGAATCATATATCAGCTCCAAACATGGACATTCTGGCTCTGTTGTGGAATGTTCTCACAACCTGGCGCAGCGGCTGGCCCAAAGCCCGGATCATGTGCAGGGCATGCTCAGATTCCCCTCAGATCGGGTTAGAAATAAGCCAGTAAGATTCATTCACTTCAAATGATTTCAGAACTTTTCATTCTTCAGATGGAGGTTCTGATCCAGCTGCAAAAACCACATCAGTTCAGTCCATTCTGACCGTATCTACTTTATTCTGAAATGCACCTGTGTTCAGACTACTTCCTGTTATTAGACATCGCAATACAGGTAACAGAACTGTTTACAACACCAGGTCACAGAACTCAATGCAACAGGTCACAGAATTCTATACAACACTGGGCATCAGAACTGTTTACAACACCAGGTAACAGAAAAAAACTCAATATAACACCAGGTCACAGAACTCAATGCAACACCAGGAAACAGAATTCTACACAACACCGGGTAGCAGAACCTAATGCAACACCAGATAACAGAACTCAATACTAACCAGATCACAGAATTCTATACAACACCAACTAATAGAACTCTTCACAACATCAGGTAGCAGAAATCAATGAAAACACTGGGTAGCAGAACTCTTTACAGCACCAGGTCACAGAATTCGATACAACACTGGGTAGCAGAACTCTTTACAGCACCAGGTCACAGAATTCAATACAACACTGGGTAGCAGAACTCTTTACAGCACCAGGTAACCAACCTGATCACATCAATTGACTATTGTAGCTTGTGGATGAGTTGGGAGCTCCTATAGGCTCAGTGAGCTGTCAATCTAAGGCTAAGGATGCTGGGTACATTCTGAAATCACCATATAAACAATGTTACCATAGAAACCGACAGATTAAAGAGAATACAGGAAAGATTTCCCAGCAACAGCTGACAGGAAATGATGCAACAACAATATCTGAGGTATATAATGAGTAAATTAGTTTTGGGTTCTAAAGTTTTACAGAACTGGACTGTTTGAACTTTAGTCAAATATTATTTCTGTAAAGGTAATAGTTATTGGTGAGCCGACTCCATATTCTGAAGGTCCAGGACCAGACCTTCTGTGGTCAGGGTTTGGACTCACGGTGAAACTATTGTTGACGTTCTTGGTGCTGGACTCAGCCACGCTGGCATCCGTCAGGTCCACTTCGTCAAAGATGATGGACTGCAGACAGACAGGAAGTCACAGATGATCAATTAGGAAGCACTTCCCTAACAGTTCTGATCAGTGAACAGGTTTCTAATCAGGCTCCACCCACCACTCGTCTACCTGAGGACTCACCTTGCTGGTCTGGGCGTAATACAGCGTCCGACCTCTCAGCTTAAAGTATCGTCTCTTCCAGCGCTGGAAAGAGTTGGTCTGTTTCAGCAGCGTTCCCTCCTTCAGAACTGTCTGTAAAGAGACAGGAAGTGAGGGGCGGGGCCTCAGAACTGTCGGTGAGAGACAGGAAGTGAGGGGCGGAGCCTCATCATCATTGATTTCAGCAATGTTCATTTTAAACATAGTCATGGAGAAAGAAGTCCACCCTTGGATTTATGTATCAGGACATATAAGCTACAGACACTCAATGCTGAGAGATGAATGACAGGTGAAAGAGCTGAATGACAGCTAAAAGACAGCTGAATGACAGCTGAAAGAGCTGAATGAGCTGAATGACAGCTGAATGACAGGTGAAAGAGCTGAATGACAGCTGAATGACAGATGAATGACAGGTGAAAGAGCTGAATGACAGCTGAAAGAGCTGAATGACAGCTGAAAGAGCTGAATGACAGCTGAAAGAGCTGAATGACAGCTAAAAGACAGCTGAATGACAGCTGAAAGAGCTG